GCAGCCCCCCTCCGGGGGAGGATTGGGTCTGTCCTAGCCACATGACAGACTGCCTGCGGTGGCCAGGATTGCAGGGGAGGGTTGCTGCTGGGGAGGGGGCACGGGGCTGCAGTGGGGAAGGAGCACTTTCAGCCACCCTGGCACCCCACCACAGACCCTTAGTTTTGTGTGTCCTTCTGCAGGTGGTCAAGGCCATCAATTGAGTGCTGCTCCACAGAGTCATCCGCCTCACTGATTTGAACGCAGTGATCGAGGGGTTTGGCGCCCTGGGCTTCCCCAACTGTGGGGAGGGCAATCGACGGGACATACATCCCCATCCATGCCCCGGATGGCTAGGCCTCCCTCTACATCAACCAGAAGGGATTCTTCTCGGTCATCCTGCAGGCTGTGTCTGACCACCGGGGCTGGTTCATGGACATCAGCGTAGGCTGGTCCGGCAAAACACATGATGTGTGGGTGTACCGCAACTCCTCCATGTGCCAAAGGCTGCATTTCAGGACCTTCATCCCCAACTGCCACATCAGGGTCGGGGAAATGGACATGCCTGTGTACCTGTTGGGGGATGCGGCCTACCCACTACAACCCTGGCTCATGAAGCCCTAAACAGGAAGGCATTTAATGCCATGCTCGACAGGGCCTGCATCATGGTGGAAGGTGCCTTCGGCTGGCTGAAGGCCTGATTTAGATGCCTCCTCACCCATCTGGACCTCTCCAAGTAGAATATTCCACACATGGTGGCAGCATGCTGTGTGCTGCACAATTTGTGTGAGCAGAAGGAGAAGGCTTTCCTGCCAGCCTGGATGGCAGAGGCCACCCACTTGGCTGGCCTGTATGTGCAGCCCCACATGGCTGCCAGCCAGGAGGCCCATCAGGGGGATGTTGGTATCTGGGAGGACCTGTGGCAGAGCTTCCTGATGGAGAAGGAGTGAAGTCTTCCTGGCGTGCCCCACTGGGGCCTTGTGCCTTATTCCACCCTCACGTCATAAGAACATAAGAATGGACGTACTGGGTCAGACCAAAGGTCTATCTAGCCCAGTAGCCTGTCGGCTGACAGTGGCCAGTGCCAGGTGCCCCGGAGAGGGTGGACTGAAGACAATGATCAAGGGATTTGTCTCATGTCATCTATCTCTAGCCTCTGACAAACAGAGGCCAGGGACACCATACCTATCCCCTGGTTAATAGCCTTTTATGGACCTAACCTCCATGAATTTATCTAGCTTCTCTTTATCAGTGGGAAATAGGTCAATGGAGGGATGATAGGAGTTACTATAGAGAACTTTCTGGGTGTCTGGCTGGTGTGTCTTGCCCACATGCTCAGGGTTTAGCTGATCGCCATATTTGGGGTCGGGAAGGAATTTTCCTCCAGGATAGATTGGCAGAGGCCCTGGAGGTTTTTTGCCTTCCTCTGTAGCATGGGGCACAGATCACAGCTGGAGGATTCTCTGCATCTTGGGGCCTTCAAAGTATTTGAAGGCTTCAATATCTGAGATATAGGTGAGAGGATTATTCTAAGAGGGGTGGGTGAGATTCTGTGCAGGGGGTCAGACTAGATTATCAGAATGGTCCCTTCTGACCTTAAAGTCTATAAGTCTAAACTCTGTTATAGTTCTAGCCTTCACAGCCTCCTCTGGCAAGGAGTTCCACAGGTTGACTGCGCTGTGTGAAGAAGAACTTTCACTTATTAGTTTTAAACCTGCTACCTATTAAAGTCATTTGGTATCCTCTAGTCCTTATAGGAACTAATGAAGAACTTTTCTTTATTCACCCTCTCCACACCACTCATGATTTTATAAACCTCTATCATATCCCCCCTCAGTTTCCCCTTTTCTAAACTGAAAAGTCCCCGTCGCTTTAGCCTCTCCGTCTGTAGATGGCCATGTTCCTGAGTCTAGTGCAGAGATCATGGACGTTGGAGGATTTCCCCCCAAACCTCAATGAGGTCCATGATCTCTGCACTGGACCAGGAAGGTGCCCGCCTTTTTCAGCCCCTGGCAGGCTTCTGGAAGCTGCCAGACTGCTCCTGGGGAGCAATGGAGGACTGGCACTAGCTGGCTGGCTCATGCTGGCAGCTGAATCAGGGACAGCGCCTGTGGGCTCTGGGCTGGCAGACCTGGAGCTGGCACAGGCCCTGTGGCCAAACAGACTCTACTCCTTTAAGGGTTCCGGAGCTGCGAGAGAGCAGAAAAGTTTTCCTGGTTTGGCCCAGAGTGGCCACCAGGGCACCCTGGGAAGGGCTGGAGGCCCTCTATTTCGAAATTAGCATCTATACAGTGCTTATTTCGATTTAGCTATTTTGAATTTGGCGTTATTCCTCATAGAATGAGGTTTACCAAATTCAAAATAAGCACGCTGCTATTTCGAATTAATATCAAAATAGTTGTTTGGCTGTGTAGACGCTAGGAAAGTTATTTCAAAAAAACTTTGCTGTATAGACATATTCTCTCAAAATAACAAATTCAAAATAAAGCGACGAGGAGTCCTGTGGCACCTTATAGACTAACTGAAGTGTAGGAGCATAAGCTTTCGTGGGCAAAGACCCACTTCGTCAGATGCCACAGGACTCCTCGTCGCTTTTGCAGATTCAGACTAACACGGCTACCCCTCTGAAATTCAAAATAGCATGTCACCACTATGGGGGAGCCTCAAAATTAGTCTGAGGCAGGTTCTGTTATTGTGGATGTGCTACCTTGAATTAGGGTCCCAAAAAGCAGTAGGGAGTAATTACTTCAGATTACTCTGGAAAGTAGTTATTTTGAAATAGGGCAGCAGAGAGTCCACACAAATGCTAAATGTTATTCCCCAAGGGAAGCAGGAGTACAGATATGGTAATGTGAATGCTCCGCTTATTATTTCGAAGTAAGGGGGTTTATTTCAAATAACTCCCTAGTATAGACCAGAGCTCTTAGACTAAGGGTATGTTTACACTGCAACACTATTTTGAAATAACTAGAGCTATTCTGAAATAACGTAGTCTGTGTTTACATAGCAAGCAGTTATTTCAAAAGAGGGTCAAAATGCTGTCAAGCTGGAGGATTTCTTATTCTGATTCCTGTAACCCTCATTGTACAAGAAGTAAGGGAAGTCAAAGGAAGAGTTTCGTCTGCTGGGTAGACACTCCCTATTTCAAAATAAGCTATTTCAAAATAAGAGACACCATTGATGTAGTTCAATTCGTGTAGCTTTTTTCGAGTTTAGCCCTGCAGTATAGACACACCCTAACAGACTTGTTAGGGCATAAGCTTAAAACCCACTTCATCTGATGAATTGGAGTGGATTGATAAGTTACTTATCAAGTGTATGACCAGTGTTACTAAGGCCAGTTAAGTCAGGGGGTGGATGTGGCTCACTCACAGCAGCTAATGATGAAGTATGACTACCTATAGAGGAGAAATTGCCTTTGTAGTGAGATAATCAATCAATCTAAATCCTTATTCAAGAGGAGGCAGGTTGTAAACTTGTAATTTTTTAATTAGATATTTACACACCATTTTGAGAAGGAAAGCATATTTTTTCATTAAATGTTTAATTTCACAAGAAAAATGAATGAAGCATAACATTCTTATTGTAGAATAAGAAATTAAATTAAAAATATATATGTAAGAGGCAAACACTGAATCTTTTTATAAAAACTTGTAAAATAATGAACAAAAATTAAGATAGCTCTTTTTGGGTCATTACTCAGAGTGTAGTTATTAATGAAACTTATCAAAAGATAAAGTACCATGTAACATTCAACTTATACCATATACACAGGCCTTTCTATGATTCCTCTCATTTAACATGAGTTTTCTAATTTAGTTGCCAGCATAATCCATTTTACTTAATTCCCTGCCTGTAATCTCAGAGTTCAGCTGTGCCCAGTGTGAAGCATTTAGTAAATCAAAGACAAATTTAACAGCTATGGCAAATTTACTAAGGTGAATGACAAAAGTTTGATGATGAAGGCCAAGCTGATTTGAAAAAGGACTTAAAATCCTGCATATCTATAAAATTTTTGATTGTCTTCACTAAAAACAAACAAACCAACCAAAAACTTAAAAAAAAAAATCTCAGGAGAAAGCCCCTTTGTGGTATGTCAGCTTTTGCAGTCCACTTTTGGCTGGGGCTGCAGAAATTAAAAAGGGAGCAAACTGTTATTTTCCCAAGTTCAATTAATTCCAAAGACAAATTAAAGTTGAAATAATTTAATTCCAAGTTCAATGAAGAGAAAGGAAAAACAGATGAAATAAATTCCAATTGAACAAAAATTTATTTTAAAAAATAAAAAATGTTATCAACACAAGGATTACAAAATATTTTCTCTCAGTTCCCACTGGAAGTGATTTTAATCAGTCAATGCAAAATGTTTTAAACATTTCAGGTGCGTCCAACTAATTTGAGTTACCAGTCAAGGAGTGGCTGGTGAAGAGACAGCAAGAGCCAAGGTATAAGTAAATATCCATGTTTTTCTAAATTTTATTAACCTTTATGTGCAGATTTCCATTCCATCCTTAGTGAAAAAAATATGATTTGTATAAAAGGGATTCTATAAGAGATCTTTGGCATTCATGAAAGCTACATGTTTTGTTAGTCTATGAAGTGCTACCAGACCATTTGTTGTTTTTTAAGTTTATTCTGTACAGACTATCTTGGCTACCCCCTGTAACTCTGTTCAGGTAGTTATCCTTTTTGATACAACTTCATGTAATGAGATAAGACAGTATTTCTATTTTTTCACATATTAAAAACAGCCATACTATCTCAGACCATAAGTCAATCTAGCCCAGAGTATGTGACATCCACTCAAGCAATAATACCCTGGAACAAATTCTCTCCTACCTCCCAGCCCCATTTGGTAAAATAACACTTATAAAGTTAAGTTGTTTCAGTGCAATGTGTAAACCTTTGTAACAACGACCATATACATCTTCTGAGTAAATAGAAGTACTAAACATAGCTGAAATGTCCCCAAAACATGCAAAAATCCATTATTAAAATCCTTCTATTAATTTTAATAACTAATATGTTATATAGAGATTTATACAAATATAATAGCTTCATGTAGGGTATCTGAACAAATGAGATCACATTTTTTTAAATATAAGAAATGGAGTATTCAAACAGCAGTACCTGTTTCCTCAGAGATGGCTACAGGCCAAATTCTCTTTTCTTTTCATTTTCCAGTCTGTGTCAAAGCACACTCAGCTGCAATGCAGCCAGCAGGAGAGGGGATGAGAAGACCCACAGTAGTATGAAGAGCTACAAGTCCTCTCCACTAACATGTGAGCTCTTCACTTGTTCAAAAATGTTCAAACAACTTTTCTGGCAATTGCTTTTCACTTTCATACATCTGTTTCAATGCCTAGTTACATAAAAAATACGAGAGTCTGAAGCTTTGGGTTACTGTTTTTCTGGTGGTTTTTCCTATTTCTGTTGATGTTGGAAATAACATAAGTAGTATGAACAAACCTGCTTGGTGATTGGGTTTCCAGACCAATTTTGCATACTTAAAAAACTTGGATAGATCAGAGAAGCCACAAATCATTTTAGGATTAGATCAATCACATTTAGAGTTCTGCTAAGGATTGTGAACTTCCTGATCTAAGAGGCTGTTCACTCTAAATTGGTAACATCACAGATTGTGTATTAAACCGCCCAATTAAGTACATTTCATCATTTCCCCTCTCTTCACTAATTATGGCCTTCACCACAAACAGGTCATCTATGTTTATGCTCCTATCAAAGGCAGAACGTTATGGCATCACAGCAAAACAAACAAACACACACAAGCTCTGCCATACACACAGTACAGTGTGGCACTGTTCAAGGCTGTCATCCTCTTCCCTACGTGGCCCTCATCACCATAATGTGTGGATGCCTCAGAAACATCAGTCAGTTTATCTTACACATGGGAACAATAGGGAAATGTTGTTATCCCATTTTAAGACTGTGAACTAAATCAGACTCTATTTGAATGAGGCACTCTAGGTCATGGTGCATATCAAGACTGGGGTACAGCTCAGAATTAATCCAATACCTATCATTGTCTCCTGATGGCTATGCCTACCATTATCTCAATCATTACTACTACACAGTGGCAAAAACTGCATGGATGCTGAGTTAAGGCTGCTTGGTGATTCGCCATTCTTTTGCAGAAAGTTGAGTTGCGCAACATTTCAGAAAAAAACAGGAAATGAACAGTTCCCATTGCCAATTCAAACTGAACTCTGTCCTCCTTCAGCAAGGTCCCAGCAAACCTGTAAACTTTTACTCTGCCAGCCCCACAAATGGTGACTTGTAGAGGCTCTGCACCTCTTTTCACAACACATTCCCTCACACAGGATTCCATCTCATACTGTTATACGATAGCTACACTACAAGCTTTTTCCAGAAGAGGAAATGCAAATGGGTGCTCATTTACATATGCCGTGCTCTCATTTGCATTTTCTCTTCCTTTTGCGCAAAAAAGCACTATGTAAACGGTGCCTTTTTGCACAAAAACCCCTTGTGCAAAAAGGAAAGGAAGAGGAAATGCAAATGAGAGCGTGACATATGCTCGGAAGAGAAAATGCAAATGAGAGCACGGCATATGCAAAAGAGTGCTCCATTTGCATTTCCTCTTCCGGAAAAAGCACTAAAGAACACAAAGTGGGGGGAAGGTTGGAGAGCTATAGCATGCACAGGGATTTGAATGAACTGGAAGAGCTTGGGCTGCAGGGTGGCTGAGGTGCTACTGGGTGTGCAAGGGTTCACTTGAAGAGCTGGAGGCCCAGGTTGCTTGGAGGACTCTGGTACAGGGTTTGGGTGTACGGGCAGAGCTGAAGGTGCAGGGATTGGAAATGCACTGGCAGAGTCGGGGCTGTAAAGTGAAGGGTGAGCTTTTAATAATCAAGAGCTCTGTGCTTCATCCAGGTATTAGCATCTTTCATCTTAATGGTACAGGGCAACAGTACAAGACATTCTGGATAGAGTCTAACCCAGGAACTCTTCAGTCAAACAACCCTAAATTTGGATCACTAACCTACTCTCCACCCCAAACCAAGAAAGATACCAAATTTCACACCAATCCAATTTGTTTGGGTTTGAAAGCATTTCCAACCTGTTAGGCATAAAGAAGGGAGGTAATGGCAGCCCAGAAGCCATTCTTCTGTATTGATTCACAGGCTTGCACATTTTCTGAAATATTCTCAGTTTGGGTCCCACAGAGCTTTAGTGAAAGCATGCATCGCCTTGTGTAAAACTTGACTGACTCCAACCATTTTGACCCAGAGCTGATCAATAGTTTAGTCTCTAGCTCTGGGGAGAGGGGGAACACCTAGAAACTTATTACAATATTTACAGGGGGAGGGGGTAATACCTCTGGGACCCCTGGCTCCTCTCACTGCAGATTTGGGTCACCAAGCCTACTGTACACTCTCTTGAGCCACACCACATTTCAAATAAATCTAAGCGTGTTAATTGTAAAGAAATTATAAAGGTCAGCCTTTAAACTGATGTCATGACACAACCTCTACTAAAATGTTGCTCTCCCGCCCTCCACTATAACCTGCAGGTTCGAAAGCATTAAAGTATGTAGTGAAACCTATGCCTACGGCACTAACCAGATGAACAGAGACAGACAAAGTATTCAGACACTGACAAAAAAGTGAATTTTACTAACATATTTGTGTTACAGCTGGTCTCTTAATATTTTATGCTTATAAAGCCACCCTAGACTATTCTTTTCCATGAGAGCTGATCTCCCTGGTTATGCACAGTGATCATTTTCAGAGACTCAAATCTGGTACACTATGAAAGGTACAGTAGGCATTTAAAATATGCATAAAATCCATTTTTGCCGCACATTTTTGATGCACGCAACACTTCAATGCAAAACAGAAAAATCATTGATCTTAAAATTATACAGTACATTTTGTGCAGAAACACATTACACGCTAGATGTCATTTGTGGAATTAAAATAGGAGATTACTTTGAGTTCTGAGGGGAGAGAGGATGGAAAAAGAATCTTACACCCTTCCCCTCCATCACAAAAAAGATGCAGTCAATGAAGTTCATGCTCTGTAACTCCAAATGAATGCTGCTAATTGTGGGGTTTTTAATCACATACAAATAATTTGAAAATTAGTGTATGGCTTGATTGTATTCTGTGTATTTGCCATGCACAGAAACCATGTAGTAATTTTATTATGACTTAATGTTTACCTACATATAGAGTAAAAGAAAGAAAGAACAAATTATAATCTCTGCATATGCCTCAAGGTTGCACAAGTGGCAAAGGCAAAAATTAGCCCATTGTTTGCAGTCACTTTTTATCCTTTCAGAGTGATGGCAGTAGTTCACTTATCCAACCATGGTAACTTCCTCTTATAAAAAATGGGAGACGGAAGGGAGAATGAATCAGGTAGGGAAACATGTGGAATAATTTTAATCAATTCTCTTATTTTTGGGTGGGGGAGAAAGGTTGCTTTGTGTACCTTGTTAAGTTAAAAAAAACCCTTCTGTGGAAGCTTAAAATGACTAAAAATGACAACACTGTTCATAGTGTAGTTGTAATAGTTTTGGTCCTAGACCGAGAAGATGGTTGAGATAATACCTTTGAGAGAGACAAGCTTTCAAGCAACATAACCCATTAACTTCCTTTTTTTGTCTTTTGACTGCAGAGATATTAATAAGCCCCTTTAACTTTAATGGTCTTGTAACAGCATGTCACCCACTACTCACAAGTTTCTCTCCACTCCTCCAGTCAAGTGTACAACAACACCTCTCTCAATCAGTGGGGAATGCTGGTGTTAGTTTCTCAGGCAGTTTTGGTGACTCAGCCCTCTGACTAAGTCACACACAGTCTATGTGAAACACAACCAAAGCAATCTGACAGTCTTCGCACAGTCCTGACTCTGGTATCAAGCCATAACCCAAGAGCATCTTCAGTCTATGTCTAGACTTCAGTCTTCTTTTGGAAGGAGCTTTCCCAGAAGAGATCTTCTGAAAAAAAATCTTCTGAAAGCATCGAAAAAGCAATCTGGACGCTATCTTGCATTTCAGCTGTGATTACTGTGGATGAATTGGCCACCAGGGCACCTGTGCTCTTTCCTCTTCTTGTGAAAACTGCCTCTTCCCCGTCCACACACGCCTTTTTCTGAAAGAGCTCTTTCGGAAAAAGGCTTCTTCCTCATAGAAAGAGGTTTACCAAATATCAGATAAACCCCTTGTTCTTTCAATTTTATTTTCGAAAGAACACAATTGCAGTGTGAATGCAAGTGAAGTTTTTTTTCCAGAAAAACTGCTGTTTTTTCCAAAAAAAAAAAAAAAAACCTCTGCAGTGTAGACATACCCTCAGTGGACACAATGATTTTGCTCAAAGTCCAATATTCAGGTCACTTCTCCGGAGGCTAATGGAGGGAAGGGACAGACATGGGCCACTCAGTCCTCTAGGACCCATCCCAGGGATCCTCAGGAGTCAAACATTGCTGCATTCCTTTAACTGCTCACTATGGGTATGTCTACACTACCCTCCTAGTTCGAACTAGGAGGATAATGTAGGCATACCGCACTTGCAAATGAAGCCCAGGATTTGAATTTCCCGGGCTTCATTTGCATAAACTGGGCACCGCCATTTTTAAATCCCTGCTCGTTCGAACCCCGTGCCGCGCGGCTACACGCGGCACGAACTAGGTAGTTCGGACTAGGCTTCCTAGTCTGAACTACCGTTACTCCTCGTGGAATAAGGAGTAACAGTAGTTCAGACTAGGAAGCCTAGTCCGAACTACCTAGTTCGTGCCGCGTGTAGCCGCGTGGCACGGGGTTCGAACGAGCAGGGATTTAAAAATGGCAGCACCCAGTTTATGCAAATGAAGCCCGGGAAATTCAAATCCCGGGCTTCATTTGCAAGTGCGGTATGCCTACATTATCCTCCTAGTTCGAACTAGCGGGGTAGTGTAGACATACCCTATGCTGCTACAATTTCCTGAGCCACTTCTTGGGGTGGGGTCTGAGCCTGGGGTTGGCAGGGGTTGACACTTAATACACATAAGAACGGACATACTGGGTCAGACCAAAGGTCCATCTAGCCCAGTATCCTATCTGTTGACAGTGGCCAATACCAGATTCCCCAGAAGGTGGGAACACAACAGGGAATCATCACATGATTCCTCTCTGGTCATCCATCTCCAGACAAATAGAGGCTAGGGACACCATTCTGATTCATCCTGGCTAATAGCTATCTAGCTCTTTTTTGAACCCTGTTTAAGTCCTGGTCTTCACAAGGATAAAGAATGATTGTGCCCTACAGATGATAGAAAGTACATGGCCATTCATCATTATATTTTCTGAGCACTTCCCACAAAACATAGAATGACAATAACAAAATCCTT